TAAGCTGGCGAATGCGTTACGCGTTACGAATCGGGCGAGGTGAACGGGAGTTGAGTGGGGGATATAAGCAAGAGTAAGCAGTGCGCGCGCACATTTTCTTTCTCTGTTTCTCTTATAGCCAGTAAATGAAATATCTATATGTAAATACATGTATATATTGTACACACACATATATATACAGACGGAGCTAAACAAGTTTCACTTCAGTCGTGTGGTCATAAGCACATTTGTTTTTTTTCCATTTTTCATTCCATGAAATGTATCCTATGTCATAAACTTTGTATATGCGTACCAAATTTTATCCAAATACTGAACGTCAGTACTTATTGCGTGCCTGAGTAACAAACAAACTTTCACATTTATAATATTAGTAGGATAAATCAATAAGTTTCTATGTGCCTAAAGGCACAATTACATTTGGTCGTTAGCTACTAGAAAAATGGGTGCGTGTACTTATGTAGGCGCGTGAGAAGTTATCCTTCTTTGGCATCGTTTAAAATTAGTTTTTAATTGCATGCAAATAATTAATTACAATAAATTAATAAAAAGTCTGGAAAAGGACACAGTCAATAAAGTTCAGTTTTAATTTGAAAAAATAAATAAATAATCAAAATATTCAATTAAAATCGCTACTGAATATAATTTATTAGAACATATGTGATTTGCACTTGTATGAAACTCAAACACATATTCCGAATATACAAACTAGAAACATGTGGATAAATATTATAAATATGAATACCTATAACTGTTACTTTATTACAAAAAATAAAGATGTGGTTTTTGGTTCTACTACACCAATGGTCAAGAGATGGCGCTGTAGTCTCCTGAATCGCGCTTTGGTTCCGTTGTTCCAGATTAATAAATACTTTTGATAGGCCTTCACAATGCAGTCGTTAGCACCCACAAAATAGAGATTCTATTTCTATTTTGTTGGTAGATTTTCTTAATGTGCGGTAAACACAAAAGTTTTGTGTTACAGTGATGCGCGCGCATCTTAAAATTTCACTCTCATCATTTTTTCATAACGCGCCTAAAGAAGTATAACTTCAAAAAGCTACATTACTACTATACTACATTACTAGAAAAAGATGGACTGATTCAAAAATCATTGCGACAATTGGTCGTGTAATAGCGTAATGCATATCAAACTACTGACAACTATCAAATTCGGAAGTGAGATTTTATTTTATAGAATTGTCCTATTATTATTTTATAGAATTTATCAACAAGCAACGGTTGTTCAGTGGTAGCGAGATCGAATGCCACCATGCAGGCGGCCCGGTTTCCTCAGCCGGGGAACGACTTTTTTATTTATCCCTATAAGCCAAGCCAGGGAAAATAAACTAACTTAGCATAGGCCTGCATTGGTATCGAATCCGGCATTATTCTCTAAACCTAAACTTGACAACAGTGTACCCTTGTCATTCTCTATACAGAATGAAAAGGCGAGACTGATGTTAAATTTAGTTTCAGGTTTAGAGGATCATGTCAGGATCAAAAAATATATTGAGGCGCATAGATGAATGATTAGTCTCGCTTCGGTCGAGAGAAGCACAAAGCTGCATCGTGTTTTCATAACCACACCTATTTTTTCCTAGTTGTTTTATTAAATAAAATTAAACTACATTTTTAACAAAAATATGGTCATAAAATCCAAGGATCATGTTAATTTGAATCACTAATTTATAACTTTCTAAAGTTTCTCTAATATGATCTTAAGTGAAATGTTATAGATACTAAATTCCTGTTCATTCCATATCATAAAAGATTACCTATTATATAAGGTTAATTTTAAAACACCAATATGAAACAGCAGATTTTTTTCACGATTTCAGCGTTGGTCCCATATTAAAAGTTGTTCCTGATGATGGGTAGAATCACCCCCTAAGAGGATTTTGGTGTTTTAAAATTAACCCTGTAAGGTCTATAATAATCTTTTATAAAATGTTATACTTATTTTTATAAGTCAAAGAGTTGTTTTATGTTGATACGACAACTTACTGAGAAGGGACTTATGACAAAATATTTGTTATTAGAAACTAGCAGCGCATGGCGTCAGACAGGAAAATGAAACGAGAAATTAAATTAAGCATCTATGTTATTCTAAAAGATTCACTTAAGTTATACCTAAGTACCAGGAAAATAACCATATACCTAACTTAAGTACGTAATTTATTAGTATTTGTCACCCTTCGGTTACTTTCCGTACCTACACAGTCAAGAGCTTAACAATGTTGACAATGTGCCTTCAAATATAGTTCCTAATACTTACACGATAGGTAAGTTGCCAGCGCGACTTTTATATAGACAGAGTTGAACAGGAATCTAGCATTATATTACCTATATATAAAACTCAAAGGTGACTGACTGACATAGTGATCTATCAACGCACAGCCCAAACCACTGGACGGATCGGGCTGAAATTTGGCATGCAGGTAGATGTTATGACGAAGGCATCCGGCTAAGAAAGGATTTTGATCAATTCCACCCCCAAGGGGATAAAATAGGGAATGAAAGTTTGTATGAAACTTTGTCAATTTTAAACCGATCGGGCTGAGACTTTGCATGCATATATAAGAAGAATCATAGATGAATGTCATTGTGTATAATACAAGCCTGAGAACAAAAACTGTAGTCTACACTTCAGCTCTTTCTTCAAAGCGAGGGCGGGCCACTAGTTGCCTATATATGTCTGCGTGTAATTTTTTTTTTAAAAACTTTAAAATAGAGATGAAATTATTACAACACACACAATGTCTAGGGTTGCCACCTTTTTTTTGTCGAAATAAAGTACATTGTGTCCAAAATAAAGTACTTTTTATATCACTTTATTAGTAAGCTTAAAAATATATTTTACGATGCTACTAGCAACTTTTAATAAATAATTTGCGGCTACTAAAAATCTGTAGTTCTTTTCCGCAATGGGAAAGGTCATGATACAAAGGCATACAGCCACGAAAATGTTGAAGGAATTAGCTAAGGGCGTCATAATCATACTTTCTATCCGTTTTACGCAAAAAATCTTCCTATCAACCTCCTTTTGTATATTTTACAGAAAATGAATCACCGAGCAATCAAATTACATTAACTAAAGTATTTTCGCGTACTTTATTGTTGGCATAAAGTATAGAGTACAATTACCCGAAATAACGTACAATACTTTATAATAAAGTACGGGTGGCAACCCTAACAATGTCTCACATATACACGCAAATAAACACACACACTAATCAAAAACGTTTGTAATCATTCGGTGTCTCGAATCGAACCACTGCGTTTCTTAATATAGGTGTTACCTAGCGTTGCCAGGCGTCCGGATAAAGCCAGACATAGTTAGGGTTCTTGATTGCGTGTCCGGCCAAAATAAACGATGTCTGACTTTTCCGGTTTATATTATGATGATACACACAAAGTTGATGTCCTTTTTAAAAGTAAATATTAGCTTATATTAGAGTTTATTTGTTTATAGAATATAATAATGCTCGCTTTGGTTAATTATTGTTTGGGTTTTATATTACAAATTATAGTTTTGATTATTATATAAAGGAGATTGCTCAGCTTCAATACATGTTTGGCCTAAAAACCAATAATCATTAAAATTGTTTCCTAGATTCGAAATTATATATAAATTACTGTAGAAACGAATAATATTGACGGACACCCCTGAGAACTTCTATAAACCATATACACTGAACGATTTTGAGGTTATGTTTGCAAATAGGTACATAGGTATTAAAATAATAAAAAACAAATAAGTTATATAGTAAACTAGGGATTTTTTTATGTTATATAAACAACTTTGATCAGTCTTTGGCTGAATACCCATACACCCACCCATAGCCATTAAAAATGATTCGTATGTTTTCGAAACCGGTAAAAGTAAAAGTCCTTTTTAAAATGAATACCTATATTATACAAAGGTGTCCGTTGAAATCTAATGACTGTAAATTAAATTATAAATTACACCAAGAATTACCGTATATTATTATGTCAATATTTTTTCTGCATTTGGGCCAATTTGAGCAATCTCCTTTAGTTATTTTTACAATTAAGTAATTTATTGTATACTGAAATTCAATAAACATTTATTATTATTATTATTAGGCTTTTTACATTTCGCAAATGAGCGAGCGCAGAGCACGAGCGAGTTCATTGTCGGTCGCTTTTACATAAAATTTTTTGTCGTACCTAATATTACTGAGCCACATTATCCTCAATCATATAGGGTGTCCGGCCTTTTTACCCAAATGTCCGGCCGAGCCGGCTGGTTTGTCCGGCTATTAGGTTTATCGATCAGGCAACCCTTGTCTTAACTAGCATGAAAGTCAGGGGTCCTACTTATAACATTATATAGCAAACCATTCCTAGTTTATTTTAAGATCTATTATTGTTGTAGTACTTGTAAGGTTTGATGAATAAACAACAATAAATCATTATTGGTTAAACCCGTTTTAACCCTTTAGGGGGTGAGTTTTAGAAAATCCTTTCATAGCGTATGCCTAGTACATCATAATAGCTACATGTGTGCCAAATTTCAGCGCAGTCCATTCAATAGTTTAAGTTGAGCTGTGTGTTGATAAACGAGTCAGTAATTGTTGCATTTGTATATGTATTTAAGATGGTTGTACCCAAAGTAGTGCCAGTCTCAAAGCAACATTATACCTAATTCAAAATTATATTTGTAAATAGGTTGCTTCTGTGTTGAACTAAATTCAGCTGAGTCCTATACATCTTTAACTCTTGGAAAAAGAATTAATAAACATAGAGAAATAAAAATAGCTGCATAGACAATGAAAAAAAAACCAATTAAAATTGGTGAATAATTTATCGAATTTACGATTTAAATTGATTCAGATTATCAACGCACCATTAAATATTAATTAAGGTAAAGTATTAGGAAGGTGAGTAACCGAAGGTTTCGCCAATTCCAGATACTACATTCCACGGCCAAATCTAAATACCTACTTAATCAAAAATAAACAAAAAAATCTACTTACGAAATATGAAAAAAAAAACACTTTATTTTTTAAAACAATCCATAGATAATATCTTTTTTTTAATCACTTCAAGTTTAAAAAGATACACTTTTACGTTTTTCTTTTCTGTATGTCAACTAACTAAACGTCTGCTATGGCACTTAATTTGTCTTATACTGGTATGATAAAAATATCCTTGTTTTTGTTTGTTGTTGGAAAAACCTGTTTCGCACACTGGCCGACCGTCTGACGAAAGCTTAGTGTTTCTGATCATCTTTTGAACTAGACTTTTTATAAATTGTCCGGTGGTGGATGAAAAGATAACAGAAAATGCGATTGCCGCTTAAATTCCCGTGGGGAGAGCAATAGAAAAAGTTTCAGAATTGTTTGAGAGGGGTTCAAATTGTCATTATTTTTTCCGTAAAGAACCGGTCGTTTTAATGATTTTATTTATGGTCCTGAACCCTATTAGGTACTAAGACTCCGTACCTCCTACTGTAGTGCTATTCTGCGCTCAAAAACTTACAAGAATTCATAATATTACTTTATTAAGATTGGTCAAATGGCCGGGAAATCCGAGATTGTCCCGGAATTTACCGTTTTGTGTCCAGTAATTAAACCTTATTGTCCCGGATTCTAATAAAGAATGACACCGCTAGCCTGCTTGATGTTTTAATTCTGGGGGGCGATGGGGGGTTCGATCTGATGCTTTATTTTGGGATGCAAATATTCTGGAATTGATAAGCCAGCATCTGGCAAGCCATAAATTAAGTACATGTTTAACATTACTTGGGCAAAGTTTTTCAATGTTCAGACAAATGACATTTTACAAATAGACGCTGATGAGTTTATTTAAAGACTTTAATAAAAGAAGACTGAGTGACTGACTGATAATCAAGGCACATACATACATACCAAACCGCTGGGTCTAGATAATCTTAAGGAGACGGTTTAAACGTCAAACGTCAGTAAAGTCGGTTTATGGCAGCGATAAAACTAATATAGCATTTGAAAGCTTGTTTTTAACATGAACATATATTTATATATATTGACGTGACAACGTCTTAAATTAGGTTGCGGCTGGGAGTCACTTATGAAAAAGTGTAACGCTCGGTAACGTTACGATGAGTTTAAGTTTACATGTACAATGTTTTAGTAAACAAAATATATTTCTATAGTTAAAATTTGTGCAATTCTTATTTTCATTCAATTCCTTGTTCCTATTGTGCAATTTAATTATATTCATATCAATAAATATTCCACCGAGAAAAAGACGTTGTCACGTAAAATCTTCGCCCGTAAAACCGACTTTACAGGCAACCATTTTTTTTTTGTATTTACCTGGATTGAGTTGAGACAAAGGATAATTTTAATCCCGGAAAACATTTAGATTCTCGAAAAACTAAAGTTAACGCGGACGAAGTCGCAAGTTATTAATATTTTAGCAACAGTCAACTATAGATTTCGAAATTTATCAAAACCTCAAATTCGTAAAAACTGTCTGTTTCATTCTTTCACAAAATAATACTTATTTATTTTTTGTATAATGTGCATCTTATAAATGAACAAATTATTTATATAAAAAGGCAAAAATGTGATTCCGGCCAGGATCGAACTGGCGGCCTTCTGCGTGTAAAGCAGATGTGATAACCACTACACCACGGAACCAGTTGAAAGTACAGATGAAATAGAAGTTTAAATTCTAATATTATATTATTCAGCGTAGAATATGCAAAATGCGAAAAATGTTTCATTGTTTATTTTCTTTTTGATTTTTATTATTCTTTGCATCTTAATATATTACTTCCTTTATGATTAGATTGTTTGAAAGTGGTTATAGCATATGGATAAAAAAAGATAACAAAGCTATAATTTAAAGTATATACATGATAGGGCTTATTTATTATATTGTTCCTGTATCTTAGTGAACAAATTATTATTAATATTCAGCCAAATTACCAATTGTTTACTTTGCAACAAAAATGTGAATACTTTGCAACAAAATAATATTAATGAGGCGATCTTTAAAATACAAACCTAGATTATATAATCATGTTTATTGACATATTATTTTATTTTTATTGACATATTTTTTAATTTTAATTATTGACAAATTTAATTTTATAAAAGAATTTCCATAATAATAATTACAAAATTAAACTAGTACTGTAAATAAGATCAATTGAGTAAGTTATAAAATTAATGAAATCAGATGACATTTATGCATGCTTTGAGAAAAAAAAGTTGTTTAATAAATATTAGGTTCTTCATTATATAGATAATTGTTTATTTGTTAAATTCTCTTTTGTAATTTTTATCTATATTGCGATACCCTGACAGGGTTCATGTTAGGTACTTTATGCATTTTGTAACTTGTAACCATCCATGTAACCACATGACTGCAATAAATTGAATTGAATTGAATTGAATTGAATTTTATTATTGAGAAACATTTACTAAATTTTTTAATCATTAAAATTATTGTGTTCTATACGTGTGACTTATACAATTTAGCGACACCTGTCGAAAGCATCGAAAACTACAGGTTTTCACTGTGTACTGAGTGCTTTCAACATATTTTATTGTGGTTCCAGCAGTTATGTATAGATGTCACTATTAACGAGAATTCAATATATGAATTTCACTTGCAGAAATATTTGGAAACTTAAATTGCTAAAAAATTACTAATACGTTTACATACTTTATTTTCATTTATTTGTTCAGTTTTGTACTATCGATCGGCTATACGCTTGTTTTCATCATTTTTTCTCAGTAATAAATTTGTAACTCAGATTATAGATTCTGTAATCTAGATTGATTTGATACATTTAATTGAATGTTAGGAAAGTATTTTAAAAATTGTATAGGTGGGTAATTAGGAAGGTTTTCGTATTAATTAAGTACCGGGACCTTAGGTTTCACCTAAACATGTAAACGATATATTTTTCGCACGCAATACATTTAGGGTGTCCACACGTCATGTAATTATTGCTGCATTCTGTGATATAGTGGGTCAAAATGCAACCTCTACAGAATTATACATCATTATCAGCCTACCTTCCCTATGGATGGAATAAGGAGATTGGACAATGACCCACCACGCGGACCCAGCGCTGACTGGCGAGTGCTAACGACTGCAATGCAGCCGGGCAAACGGCTTAACGTGCCTTCCGAAGCACGGAGGAGCTCGAGTGGAGAATATGTCTGCCCACGTCGCTCTATCTATAAACTTAATCATGGAATAAAACACAACGTTTAATAGAATACGATTTGAAAACAGCCGATACGTATTATTCTCTGTATTAAATCAGTTGAAGAATTTGCAATTACACCTCGTAGCTGGCGAAACGCCAAATACCTATACAATTGTTTGACCACAAACTACAAGTAGGATCATCCTCGATCCATACTCAGCACTGTCATATACCAATAAAATTGGTCCATGGCACTGTCCTACAAATAAAATAATTCATGGTCGCCTCAAACCAGCCCTTTCTGGATAGGCCCAGTGTCATCGACCGGCGACGCGCACGCCATCTACCAAGTTACGCAGCAATCTAATTGAGTGTTGCTATTAATATGTAGATTTAAATACTCCGGAGGGGTTCTGTCAATGACCGAATGTGGCCTTTTCCATTGAACCTTTTCGATTAGATCTGTTATCAGCCTTTTTTTTATTAATTTAATAATAAATATCACGATATAAAACGAATGATCAACGGAAAATCTCAGGTATTTGTAGGTATTATATTTAGGAGGTTCTAAAAGAAAAAAATCCCATTAAAGAAATTATGACGACCTACCTCTCCTCCTAAGGAACGGGGGATTTTAAGTAACTACCTATCTGTCAAACATTTTGTACTGTACTACCTGTGTACCACACGAGGTAGATTGATTTTCGGTTTTGCGGTCGAATTAGCATTGTATGCCGTTAATATAAATTAAACGAGTGCCTGTAAATAAAAAAATAAAGTGTCAAAAATACTGAATGCGGCTAACTGTTTTACTAAGCGAGCGAAAGAAATCAATAAAATATTAAATTAAAAACATTCACTTGAGTTACTTAAAATATAAAAGTAGCTCTGTAATAATTTGAGACATCAGATATTTGTTTGAGAGACAACATTATGTCTTGCATTTTTTTCAATACAGTAGAACTCGTTTAAGACGATCACGCTTAATACGATTTCTCGCATAATACGCCATTTAAGCTCGAGTTACACATACATGTTTAGGCGCAAGTGGTTAGCGCGTTTGGCTGCGATCGTTGAACTTAAAGCAACTTTAGCCGTGGTCGGTCATTGGATGGGTGACCAAAAATTACTATCTCGAGCTCCTCCGTGCTTCGGCAGGCACGTTAAGCCGTTGGTCCCGGCTGCATCTGCAGTCGTAAGCACCTACCAATCCGCACTGGGCCCGCGTGGTGGGTCATGGCCCAATCTCCCTATTCCATCTATAGGGAAGGCCTGTGCCCCAGCAGTGAGAACATTAATAGGCTGATGATGATGATGATTACGCCATTTTGCGTCAGTCCCTGCAACTTGAGACATGTTTTCATACATTTCTGAACGCTTAATACAATTCGTCATCCCGTTTAATACGCCTAAATCTTAAACACGTACCACACATACTATTACCTCTTGAAGTAGCATAAAATTCAATGAGAATGTGAATAACACACAAGAAGAGGCCCTAAGTGATAATGATTTTGTTACAAGCCCAGGCATTATCAGCAGTTAATGATTTAAGACGCTATGTAACTTATTTGAATCAAAGCGTAGACGCACTGCCAAAGTTAAATTATGTTGAAAATCTTGTAATTGCTAATGCCTCAAAATCTTTTTGACAAACTAAAATAAGTGATTAATTTAAATAACGAAATAATAATACACTAAGTACATATTTTATGACATACTTACATAATTATTTTAACATTGTACATTTTATACCTCAACTAGCGGCCCGCCCTTGCTTCGCTTCGGTGTAGAGCTGAAGTGTAGACTACAGTTTTTGTTCTCAGGCTTGCATTATACACAATGACATTCATCTATGATTCTTCTTATACCTGCATGCAAAGTCTCAGCCCGATCGGTTTAAAATTAAAATTGACAAAGTTTCATACAAACTTTCATTCCCT